GGCGTACGGGCGCGCATTTATCAAGCGGCTCCTCTCTCCCTGGCTGCCTGGCTCCCCACCAGTTCCCTTAACAGCCCGCCACGCTCTTCTTCTTCTTGCTCGTCGTCCTACTCCGACCTCCTGCCCGCCGCGGCTCTTCGTCTTCCTCTTCTTCAACGGGGTTGTCGGCGCTTAATAGCCGCCGCCGCCGCCGCGCCGCGAACAGCAGCGCAAGGGACGACAAAAGAACGCTTCGCAAACAGACAACCCCCTGATTTGTTCGCCGCTGGCTCGCACAAAGCGAGGGGCCGCGATTTGCTCGCGACACTTCCGTTTCGGGCCGTCGCGCCGACGGAGGATGGTCTTTTCTGGAACCCGCGACGCGTCGAGGGAAGTAGGGGGTTTGATCCTGGTTCTGGGGATGACGAGATGGACTGGGGTGAGATGTTGGAGTTCGAGGTGGCTGATCCTCGAGAGGTGCCGAGGCGTTCGGCTGGTTGCTTGCGTTTCCGGGGGATTGTTAGTGGCGCGGTGTTAATGGGGATTTTTGGAGCAAAAGTCAGTATGGTTGATGGAGGCGATTCACGCCTAATGTTCGTGCGACCGTGATCTAGATGCATTAGCAGCCAAGGGTTAGCTTGCTTAGGGATCTAGAATCGTTAGTGGATGGTACGTTGGAAATGCGAGGTTGTTTGAACGGTTTTCTAGGTGAGAATGAGTCGGGTGCGAGGTTTCGTTGGGATTGACGATTTTGTTGGGCCAGCTGAGGAAACGTTCGATTTCGTTGCAACGTGAACAGGAATTAGAGTTCTAAATGAGTCGTGCGTTTTGTGAATGAGTGAAAATTTGATCCATGGATCTCTAAGTATAAGGTCCTCGAGCGTACAGGGGTAGTTTCGAACTATTACGAGACCATTGGCGCCATCTACTCTGCGGACCACGAACTGCCCTCCCCGATTTCGAAGATTGAATAAGAATCTTCTCAACGAAGTACTATAAATATCCGATGAAATCAGAGTAATCGTTACTTAATATGAAAGGTAAGTAAATACCGGGGAAAAAGATAAAACGAGGTCGCCCGGCGACGGGTTACTCACCCGTCACACGTAAGATGATGAATCACGCGGCGGTCGAGCATATGTAGGACTGTAAATTCGATGCCGCGGTACAATGACGAATGGTGGCGGTCACAGGTATCACCGGACATCCACATTTCATTACGTATTTACGACTCGTCAAGGTGATATCACTTCCTCGTTCCCCTGGTCAAAGATTAACCGCCGCGCGTCCCAATTGGAATACTCGATCAGCCTGGCTAAACATTCGCCGGATTAACTGCGGGACGCATCGCTCGTTGAAACTTGCATCTCCTCATTAAAACTACCAACGAATCTTTAAACGAGCATAAACAATTACATCATACCTACGAAAATTACATTTCACCTACAACTACGAGTCAAAATGATTCATTCCTGACCTCTCTTCTCCAATCATTACAAAGAGAATTTCTTCAAGAAACGATCAAAGAAATCTACCAATAGGAAGACTGTAACTCAATTAAAGTCTCAATAAACGCACTCCTGGGGTTTCCACAAAGGAATTTCAAAAAGTCAAAGAACCGCTCGGTAGATTTTGTCGAACGACGAACGATCAAAGGTACTCGAATCACCTATTTCCTCCGCAAAGGAGAAGCACGTTGACTAATTCCATTCTACCAGAATCTGAGACGGTATCGATTTAATAAATATTAAATAATACTCAATATTTGAAAGGCACCAACAAAGGAAATCAATGCCGAAATCTCCGCAATCCTCGGCAACAATGGTAGGAAATCTGAGTCGACTGTAACGTTCACGTAATTCCCGGAGTTCGTCGTTCCACGGTCTCCTATCGAAAGCTTCTATTCCACGGGGATCAGCCGCGGAGCCGTGGCCGTAGGACCGTTTAACAGATTGATATTATCAACGTGAACGGTGAACCGCCCGGTTACAGGTGGTCCAGCCGTGGCGTACGGTTTCGTTAGATTTACAGCCCACGGAAGAGGCGGGCGGCCCGTCCGCGTGGCACACTTTCCCCCGTTGAACACCGACGGGATCGTTGCCCACGATATCCGTTCATCGGCAATGAGCGTTATTAAATGAGGGAAGATCCGGCTGAAAAGCCGGCCCGCCCATCCCGTACAACAACGGGGGGAAAATATATTCACGCGTAAATCATTACTCGTTATGGCGGCTGGTTTTTCGTGGCGCGGCCAGAACTTCGTTACGAACGGTCAACCGGCCGAGACGCAACATGGCCGCGCGACGAGACGCACCGCCGAGAGTTCGTTCGTAACTATGAACAAATAATGAGTCACAGTCTACGCGATTTCGGGGAACAAAAATATTATATCGATGGAGTGATTAGAATTGGGATTGACAATAATAAAAGGAATTACTGCTGGTTCATTTGTTGGACTGTTATTCGCTTGCGGAGAGTTTGAATTGCAGTTGTAATTCAGGTGGAAAGTGTACAGAACGTTTTATTGACTGCAATTTTCATTCGATTCGTTTATTGTTCGATATCGTTGTTTAGTTATGATTGATTGATGGGCACGTCGGAATTAGTAATACACGGGTTTTTCGGTGGAAAACGAAAGAAAGGTGAGCTTCGTGAATGGATATTTCGAATATTTCGAATGAATTATATATACCGTGGATGCAATGTGTTGTTATACTATAGAGCGGGGATGAATTATAGTTGGAATACATTAACTTCATTTAAATACTCTCGCGAAGGAAGTGAACGTTCTTTGTCGCTTTGGAAACCGAAATTACCATTAGAATGTAATCCTTTCTCCTATTCTCAGGCACAATAGAGCCCTTTCTTTTTAGGGAATCGTACTCTCGTAGGTACAAATGTGGAGGAATTAGGGATGCAGGTACAGAACCGACAAACCTGTTTGTTCTTTCGCTATTCTTCGCCGGAGAAAGGCTACGCCTCGCTAGGAAACTTATCTGCCTCTGGAATCGTTCACTTCCGCCCGGTTTTTCCGCGGAAATAATCTTTCGACTGTAATAAAAGTGATCCTCCGAACCGACGTCCACGATACACATTTTCCCCGGACCTCGCAACAGCGAATTCTCCCGAAATTTCATCTCGATCCCCCTCCATTCGCGCTTTATTGCGCATTTCTACCTCGCCGCAAAACATTTCGACTTTTTACTCCCGCTGAACTTCGTTATCTTGTTCCTCCAACATTGCAAATTATCATCCCCGTTTTTTTACTCCCTAACGAGCGCGTCAAAATGAAGGATACCGCGACTCGGTATCACGCGTTACGCTCTCATCTCGCGAGCAGGATCCCCGTAAAACCCCATACGTTTTACAGCTGACGTGCGCCCGGGGTTAAAGTGGAGCGGCGCGAACTTCTCGCGCGTAATGAACGTTCGACGCATCCCCTTTAATATCCCGTGTCTACCTCGAACGACCGAATTTCCCCCGAAGAGGATGTAATCCTTTATTAACCCATTATTCCCAGTGTGGAAATCTTTCCTGCATATTTGCCGAACTATCCAAAGGGGAATCTTCGTTCAACCCCTTGCGCTATGATTTATTTCGCAGCTACGATCGATTACACCCACCTTTTCATCAACTATCCATTGAAAAAGGTGGAGAATTCGAATCGTATTCCATGTCTACATTTAGTCTGAACTGTAACGATTGATGAGAAGAATAATATTTAATTCCGAGAGAATCAAGTAACATTCGCGTATGGTAAATTCCGTTGAAAATCTTCGAGAGTCTGACACATTTAAGGGTTAACCCTTTGAGGACGAATGTCGTCATTCATTAACCCGTTTTCCTATTAACCCTTTGCACTCCGAAGTTTTTCACTAGAAATATTTCAACATTTTCTAATGAGATGAAGACGATACTTTGTAAAACCAACTCGACGAGAAATTTGATGCATTACGAGTTTGATGCATCATATGAAGTATAATATTAAATATCAAACTTTACAGCTTCACCGTAGGAAATCAAGTGGTAAGAGAGTCTGCCGAGTGCAAAGTTTTAATTAAGTAATTGATATTTGATTTAACTTCATCTGTCGAGGACTACATTTCAAAGTGTCTTCGTCCGCAAAGGGTTGAACCGAAGAATTCACGCGTTGCTTGAGTTTTGACGTCACCGAGAGCGAACAAGGCGTACACACGTCGAAAGATCAGCTCGTTCATTAGCCATTCTATGGGATCGTTCGTTTGGCCGGGTCTCGTAAGGATTTCCGTCTCACGGCGAACGGGATCGATCGATCAGACGGCTGGATGGGAGCAGACGACGAACGGACGCTGTCTGCACTTTCACTCGCGGGTCACCCGGCGGGTTAACGACGAAAACTGTATCGTGTCGTGGATGCTCGGGTGGGCATTAGCATATAACCCGATGGTATCCGATGGAAAGTCCACCGGTCGTCACGCTCGCCG